GTTCTGCAAAATGATCTCTTCAGGGGCTTTTCTAAACGTCAGGGGAGCATTAAAAAACATTTCCCCGTGATCAGGGAGTGGAATTGAAAAATGAGGAATTGTGCAGTTGAAATCCAAAGAATTTGTGCAGTTATTCTGGAAGTATGAAAAATGTAAAATTATACAAAGGTAGTTATATCTCCTTTGGTCTCCAGCTCCAAAAGAATGTCTTTGAGATCAAATGAAGAGGTTATTTATCAGTTGTAACAGTGCTGTCCCTTTATCTACATTCTATAAATGAAAAGGCCCATGACAAATTTGTTTGAAGTCTAAATGTAAACACACCCATGAAGAATACATTCATGATGGGAAACCTGGGATTTTTTTTTTTTTTTAGGCTTTCTTTATAGAGGGCAGCTGTATTCATTAGTGGTTGGTAGATAGTGTGGTTAGAAGATTGGAGAAGAAGGAAGTACCAATTACTGGTTAATCTCTGTAATTAGGAACCCTCTCCCCTGTATCTATTGTGTGACTATCTGGAAATGAGCTTAATAAGCCTACTCTGGCTTTGGAAGACATTTGGATCTCTGAAAAATCATAAGGACTGTTGCCTGTGACATAGGGAAACAGGGATTAAAAGCCTTCTTATCACACTTTCTAATGGCTTTCATCGTTTAGTTTACTGTCACTGTGGGCAGAAAATTTCACAGTCACACCCAGATAAAATTTGAGGTTTCAAAGAACCCAACCTTAATGGGTTTACAAGTAAAATCAGTTTCTTGGCAATTTTGATGGCTACCTAATCAATCTTATTTGGGCTACCTACTTAAATTACTGACATAGTCTTGGTTTTCAATAAAAGGACATGGTAAGTTGGGAAACCTCAATTATTTTGTCCATTCCCATCCTAAATTCATACCAATTAGAATGATACAAAAGAGCAGCCATGCTAGCTGAAGAATCCAAGGATATTGAAGACGGGAGCTGCTGTCATCCTCCCCCTAAGCTTGATTCAGGGAAAATCATGATCACAGGTCACAGGTGTGTGGAGTGCTATTGCATATGCCAGTGTTTCCCAACCTTCTCTCATGATGAGAATCACCTGGTGGAGTTGTTAAAACACAGATTCCTGAATCCCAACTAAGAAGTGCTAAACTAGAATTTTTGAGAACATATAGGTAAAATTGCATACCTAACTTAGTGCTCTGTATATAAAATCTGTCTTAGAGCACTAGTTAAGTATACAATTTTACCTATATGTTCCCCAAAATTCTAGTTTAGCACTTCTTAGTTGGGATTCAGGAATCTGTGTTTTAACAACTCCACCAGGTGATTCTCATCATGAGAGAAGGTTGGGAAACACTGGCATATGCTATGTGGGAGAAGAGTCAAAATGCTCTGAGGCTCCTAGAATTTGTCCAAAAAATGATGCTTCAGTGTTGTTTTCATAGAATGTCCTCATCCTTTAAAAAGGAGTCCCCTCGGCAGTCAGTGCTGGATCACCACACCCATGGCAACGGTAGTCAGTGCTGGGTTGCCGGGGCGACCCAGCACTGACTGTAGGACTGACTTCCAGTGTTCGGTTGAGCCTTTGATTGGTAGTCATGGACCCTGGGTTTTTATATATTAGGATTTCTTCCCCATGTGAACAGGTTTGCCCACCTGGTGGTCATCTTACTGAACCCTCCTGAGTTGCTCTTTGTTCAGGTAAGTCTCAATGACAGCATCAGCATCCATTGTCCCATCTCCTTCCTGGAACAGTAAGGACACTTGTGTATGAATAAAAAAGAAACCATTTGTTTAGCAGCACCTGGAAAACAAATTTGTTTTACAGATTTTCTGCATGAATGTTTTCACGGCAATATTTACCTAGTCTTTAAATATTCTCTCTACTGTCTATTTAGCATTTTATCAAATTAATTTGTCTCTGAACTAACCATCATTGCCAGTTATTGAACAAATGCACCACTTTTGGTGACTTCTCTGAAAATTTTAGACATGGTAAAAGCAATGTTTTACTTTTCCCCTTAAAACACTCCATCTTTTTGGTTTCATGTTGCATGTTCCTGGATACCAAACTTTTTGAAAACATGTTCTGAACAATTGTAAATGTAAAGGACAAATGCATTTAATTTACTGCTAGCCTTATTCTGGGATCTTAATGAGACTGCATGATAAGATTAAGGGCTACTTCAAGTTAACGTTCTGTCCTGTTGATTTAAATGGGAGTCATTAAGCAGCTGACATAGGGTGATAAGAAGGTTGAGGACAAATAGATTTAAAATTGATATCTCTTAAAACCTTTTTACTTGCTAATGATGAAATTTGCCTTTCATCTCTCAGTACTTGCTTTCTACCATATTGATCTCTCAGATCTAAGGGTTTGGCTGAACAGAGGTTTGGCATTTCTCTTTTTCCAACTGATTGATATTTTTTTCTGTTTAGATCAAGCTGCCATATTAACCTTCCAGGTGTTAATGCTCTAAGACTTTAAAAAAAATTTTTTTTTAAAAACTTATAACAACTAATAGTCAACATAATTTTGTAGATGTTTCCAATGTTTGTAACTGGTGCCAGGAGAATAACATTTAGGTGCACAATTACTTATCCATAATTCTGATCTAGAAAGATCTGAAAAAATAGAATTTTTTTTCCCCATTATGTTTGGCACAAATTAATTTGGTGATAGAACCTGACCTGAAGGGATGCAAGCTATTTAGAGTTTGCAATAATCTTATGCAGAAATATTAGCATGCTTGAATAAGGGTGCTGTGCGAGAGTCTGCCAGGGCTGTTACAAAATATGCCGGATAACTTTGTAAAATGTAAAAAATTATGAATTCCAAAATACATCTGGCTGCAAATGTGGGTTATGTAAATTAAACTGGAAAGGTAAAGACTTTTCACTTACTTGCTAATTTTCAGCCAAAGTCACTGAGCCAAGGGAAATGACAAAACCGTGGATGCAACTTCAGAGGGACAACAGCTGCAGTGACCTGGCTTGCTCTCCACTTCAACATAAGGCAAGTTTCTTGCTCACTTTTGAGCGTCCCATCTGAATATCATGCTCCTCTAGCCAGGATAGTAAATGAGGCTTGACCCAATTACCAACATATTGCTTTATTTCTTGGTGGTAGTAAATTAAGGCTTTCTAGATTCATACAGCACGCAGTGATTTGAACATTAGAATTAAAAAAAACAAACAACAATGAGCATTCAATTTAGCAGAGGCAGGAAGGAAGCAGTTTTAAAACAGATAAATTTCCTATGAGGCCTTTTGTTTGGTCTCTAAAAATCTGCTGAGCGATTTCTCCAGTAACCTCTGTCATGGATTCATACCCCAAGGGGAAGCAGAATAAAAAAGAAGGCCTAGAAAAAGGGAGAAACTGGGAAAGACAGTATGTGCTAGGCAATCAGTATGGAAGGTGGTTTTTGTCTCATGTTCGGAAGACCGTTTTGATGATGTGGTTAGGTGGTGGTGATAAAAATATTTGTATTGCGACTTCCGTTTTCTGGTTCAGGGAACCATTTTGGATCTCCTATTTAATTCTGCGAGTATGAAAACAGCTCACTTGGAAGACCTCAGTGCCAAGGGTTAGGAACAATCCTTTGTGACTCAAATTCTGAGACTTTAGACAAGATCACAAGTCACAGAGCAGGGGAATGCTATCTTCAACCCCTATTATGGCGCTAAGCTCTATGGCTATCACTCGGTACTATCCCCAGCCAAACAATTCATCCCCCACCCCATCCAATCCCATGGTCTTGATTGCACATCTAAGTTGTTGACGATGTTGACTGGAGAGAAGACCATATTTCATATGATGCATGGGCAGACACCACCTCACTCTATCTCTTTCCCAACACAAGACAAAGGAAGGCAGGGAGCCTACAGTGGGAGTGCAGTTGTCGAGTGGTGTGTAAGCTTGATCTGAGACAAATTCCACATGCTTGCCTTGTTGATGCAGAGGTTCTGGGTTTGGATGGTGGACACTTTCAGGAAGAAAGGATGAGTGGTTTGAACAGTGATGAAGGAGGGGCACGGCCAGAGCATAATTTGGGAAAGATCATGTGTTTATTAACAAAAGGCAACTCAATTACATGAAAATAAGCAGTGGAATTCCTCCTGGCATCCTGATTTCACATGAATGAGGCTAGCAAATGGATTTCTATCCAAATAGGACCATTTAAAATTTATACTTGGCAGTTATTTGAATGTTTTATTCCAAGGGCCTGGCGGGTGAACCAGCGCCAAAAGCCTTATCAACGTGTCCCCTCTTCATTTGCCTGGCATTTTCGAGTGAACAGTATATGAACACCTGGAAGCCTGCCCTGCATTCTTCGACAAAGAACATGTAGACGGCCACAGGGGAAGGCACACAAGGTGGCAATCTGCACAACGAAACACTATGACTTAACTCCAGCGGGCTTCATGCGGTGGAGTCTGGATGCACGAAGAAATAAATAGATGAGAAAAGTAGAAATGTGATCTGAATGACAACGAACCAAGGTGTCTGTTCTTGCCAGCTGCAGGGCAGATGTGCCTGATGCAGGCCACATGTGCACTGCAGGACATGTGCTCTTTTGGGCCTTGCTTGTTAGTTAAAAACTGTGAGGGCCTTTCCTCCATTTGAAAACTCTCTGTTTGAAAGATCAGCTTGACTGAAGGATGTGGGCTTTTGCTGTGGCTAGGAATGGCTTGGTGGTAGGAAGTGGGTGATCTAGCAGGTTGGGAGAAGATGCCCAGGAGACTCACCCATCCAAACAAACAGGGATGGGGATAATACTTGGAATGGAGTGAAGGGCATAGAGGACACTAGCATCGGCACTTCTGAATCTCCTGAAAGCATCCATAGGGCTTACACTCTTGGTAGAGGTAGTAGATGCCTATTGTGCTCTAGGCCCGTGGTCAGCCAACTGTGGCTCGCCAGCCACATGCGGCTCTTTGGCTCCTTGAGTGTGGCTCTTCCACAAAATACCACGGCTTGGGCGAGTCTATTTTGAAGAAGTGGCGTTAGAAGTTTAAGTTTAAAAAAAATTTGGCTCTCAAAAGAGAGATTTCAATCGTTGTACTGTTAATATCTGGCTCTGTTGACTAATGAGTTTGCTGACCACTGCTCTAGGCTAAAGTACTTCTGTTCATTGACATCTTGATTCCCTCAGTCCTAACCTGGGCATGAAGCCAATCCTGGAGCTGGATGGCTTCTTATATAATGCTGGCAGCCGAAGCCCAGAGCAGTCAGATGCTTTGCCTGACATCACAGAACCCACTGGCAGCAGAGTTGGGGGCAAAGGCAGGTCTTTCCTCCTGCACCATGTTGCTTGATGCAAGAGATTCTCCAAACAGGTTTGCAAGTACTTTGTACCCACCAGGCGCTGTGGCATGGATTTAACAAGATTTGCTTGGGTGTGGGATTGTAGAGTGTGGCTTAGGCCAATCAAGCAGTTTAAGGGGGAGGGGGTGAGGAGAGCATCATTACTCTGATAATGTGTTATGGTTGCTGTTGGAAGCAGAGAAGCCAGAAAATGAGGGGTGGGGGTGTAGGACCCTGGAAATGGGATCAGGAGGAGACAGAGACAGAAGGGGATGCTTCCAAAGCCATCGAATCAGCTTTCTGAGGTACAACTTCTGTGAGCACAGAGACTTCCTTGCCAACTACCTGACCTGACCCACAAAACCCTTTCCTGCAAAAGACCTTTGTCCCGCCCACCCCACCCCCTTCCTTTCCATGACCTTTGTTGCCCCCGAGACAGTAGAAGAAAACACAAGCCAGATGCCTAAGAACCTTCCTGGAAGAAAGAGCTGTTATGAGCGGGTGTCGGTGCTTACATGGCTGCCTTAAAACATACACACACACACTTCCTCCTGTTCATGTTTGCAGGAAAGCAGCACCTGCAGGGCCGGGAGCCGTCCCTTCAGAAGAAGGCAGGGTTGGTGTGCTCGATGACGCAGCGCTTGCAGTGGCGTTTCACGAAGCGCAGGGCCTCCACCGACACCTCGCAGTCCTGCACGTTGAGCAGCTGCAGGTCGAAGCAGTTGGCCGCCACGATCTGCAGCCCTTGGCCCGTGATGCTCTCGCAGGACTTGAGGCTGAGCCGCTTGAGGTTGAAGCAGTTCAGGGCCAGGCACTCCAGGCCCGTGTCCGAGACCAGGGGGCACTTGCCGATGTCCAGGGACTTGAGCTTGGTGCAGTTCTTGGCGAGGTACTCCACGCCGTGGTCCGTGATGCCCTCGCAGCCCCGCGCGTTGAGGTAGCGCAGCTTGCCGCAGTACTTGGCCACATAGCGGATGCCCACGTCGGTGACCCGGCCGCAGTGCGCGATGCTCAGGTACCGCAGGCGCGCCTCCAGCTTGGCGATCTCCCGCAGGCCGAAGTCGCTGACGAAGCGGCAGTCGCTGACGCTCAGCTCCTTGATGGACGGGCAGTAGATCATCAGGTAGCGCAGGCCCTCGTCGGTGAGGCGGACGCAGCGGCGCAGGTACAGGTGGGTCAGCTGCGTGCAGTGCGCCGCGATGGTGTGCAGGCCCTCGTCCTCCAGCACGAAGCAGTCCGTCATGTCCAGGTAGCGGATGGAAATCTGTTTGCCATGCAAGGGGGACAGTTTAATGGAGGCCTCCCGGGTCAAGCTGATGCAGGTCACTTTGGAGCACCCTACACAGAGAGACAGAACACAGGCTCAGAGCAACCGCGGGGATGGGGGGGCGGGGAAGGGGGCTTGCCCTGGGTGGGGATGTCATAGCTTCCTGCCCTCCCCCAGCCCAATCCCCTTCCCTACTGGGCCCCGAAGGATGGGTTCTCCCTGTTCATTGATTAAAAAACAAATATCAAAAAACTATTTTGATTATTTGAGTTTAAGGGGGTGGTTCTCGAGCTTTAGAATCAGAAAAGCCATGGTTCTAATTCCAGATCCATCTCTACTGGGTACATATTGGGCAAGTCAAGCCTTTTGAGTATTTCCTTTGTCTTAAAATGGGGATGTTGATGGTCCCTGAAAGGTGACTGTGAAGAAGAAATGAGACATGTGCAAATATCTTGTCCTGGTCCTGGGAGCTCAGTAAAGGCTACTTCTTCCCCATAGTGGCCTGGTAGCTCTCTGGTCCAAAGAAGTGTGAGATGAGAGAGAAGGAGGCTTGGCCCAGACTTCGGTTTGGCTGAAAGAGCTCTGACTGGGAGCCACACATGATTCAAGTCTATTTCTTATGGTTTCAGGCAAGAGGCTTAACTTTTCTACCTCAAGACTCTCTTATAACAGGAATGAACAGCTGGTGTGCCTCCAATATAGGGAGATAAAATGAGGATGCAGCCAGGTAATGGATAGGGACATACTCTGAATACTCTATGGGAAATACAGGTAGTCTAACAAGGTGACCATCTGGGGATTCAATTCAATCCTCTTGGGTGAAGGAAGAATAATCGTGTCCTCTGAATTATTGTTTTAGCCCAGTGGTCGGCAAACTCATTAGTCAACAGAGACAAATATCAAGAGTACAATGATTGAAATTTCTTTTGAGAGCCAAATGTCTTTAAACTTAAACTTCTTCTAATGCCACTTCTTCAAAACAGACTCACCCAGGCCGTGGTATTTTGTGGAAGAGCCACACTCAAGGGGCCAAAGAGCCCCATGTGGCTCGTGAGCCACAGTTTGCCGGCCACGGTTCTAGCCTCTTACACAGTCTCCCTGTCCTGCCTCACCCCTGACCTTCTAGTCTCTTCACAGCTGCCAGAAAGATTATAGAAAACAGAAACTGCAATCATGTCACTCTGCTCAACGCCTCTGAATGACACCCATACCCCAGAGTAAAATACAGTCTTAGGGGCCTCAAGGACTTGCCCCCTGTGCACTCTGAGTGTAGCACTTGCTCCTTCGAACCTACTGGCCTCCTTGCTTCTTTGCAGACTTGTCACATTCTCTCCTGCCTCAGGTCCGTGTACTGGACTGGGCTCCCTCAGATCTCCATGAGCCCATCCCACTTCCTTAGGTCTCTCAGCACCTGTCAGTTTACTGGGCAAGTCTTCTCTACCAGTAATTACCCTGTGTGACCCAGTCTCCCCTGCCTGGCTCCCATTCATTCACAGCGCTCTGTTTCTGTCACTTTGTCCCCACTCTGGAATGTCAGCTCCTGAGAAAAGGGACTCTGGGCTGTTCATTGCTGTTTCCTTCACACCTGTATCACATTGGTGCTAAGTATTGGTAGAATGAACGAATGAATGCCCTATAGAGTGAATAGAGTCTTCTATAGGCAGATCAGGTAGAAGAATCCAATTTCTTACATTTAAATGTCCTCAAAACCTCAACCCTGGCTGATGTATACTTACATTGTAAAACAGTTGTCTATATTTTATTATAATGCCTTTTATATGTGTTGAATTATAAAGTTTACAGAGAGTTTTTATAAACATTTTCTTACCTGATTTTTGAAACAATCCATTTTACAGATATGGAAATTTAAGTTCAGAAAGATTTCTTCTGATGCCTCTCTAAGCATTGTTTCTAATCCTTTTCCCCCCAAGAACATGCATGTGTATGGATTATATTCATATTTACACTATATATCATTATTATATACACTGAGTGGCCAGATTATTATGATCTATGAATGCATAATAATCTGGACACTCAGTGTATATCCTATATAATAAAAGGCTAATATGCAAATTGTACCCTCGACCAGGAGTTTTACCAGCAAGCAGGCCAGCCAACCGCCCATGTCCCCTCCCCTCTGGCCAGGCTGGCCAGACCCGACCCATGCACAAATTCATGCACTGGGCCTCTAATATATATATATATATATATATATATATATATATATATATACATATATATATATATATATGTATAACACAATGAGTGGCCAGATTATTATGCATTCAGAGATCATAATAATCTGGCCACTCAGTGTATAATATATGAAACACTTATTTCATTGTGTAATTAAGTTCATTATATGTTACCATGTAAAAATGCAGAGTATATTTTTAGTGTGTAAGTATAAATAATTGGTATGAATAGTCTATATAGTATATAAATAAATGCATATGTAGATATAGTTTATTAGATTACATAGACTGCCCACTTTCTCTCTGCTCTACCCGAATCCCTCTGGCATGTGTTCAGCCAGGTGCCTCACCTTGGGCACCTCTGTGTTTCTCACTTACAGCCAAACCTTCCAAGCAGCTACACAAAAGTGCTAGCTGAGACTTTCCTCCCACTTTTTGGCAGGCTGCCCAGGAAATGCGTGTAAAATTCAGGTCCTGGGAAAAACATGGCTCAAAAGCCACGTGCTACCACGTCAAAGAATTTCAGGAAGAAGTAAAGCATACAATGCAACACTGGAGAACAAAGATGCGACTCGTCAGAGGCGGCCCATGCTGCTCCAGCGGGCTCCGTGCGGTTGGTATCTCTGAACTTTGGCTTTGAAATCTTCCTTTGTTTTGAGTTTCTTTTTCTAGGTTGACTGTACTCCTGCTTCTACTGAATTTATGCGTACACTGTAGCGACTGCCCGTCTCTGACACCTGGGAAGGTACTTTGTTTTTCAAGAGTACATGACAAACTTTGTTCCATAGATAGTTAAAATATCTAGCAAAATCCAGGAAAGATACTGTACAATATTTGGTCCAAGGAAATTTAGGCATTGTTTTTTAAAGTTACTTCCAAATTTAATGAAATAACCCGTTTAGCTCAGTTTTGGTAAATAAACTATTGTGATATGCTTATATTACTTTAGATAAATAATTTTTAATTTTAATGTTAGTCTTAATTTTTTTCAGATCTGCTAAGTTTGGGTTGAAAAGAAACTGGTCCATGGCTCCGTAGGTGATATCTATAGCTATTTCATGCAGTCATACATTACAGACACAGCGAGAACCTTAGAAATCATCCTATATAATCTTTGTTTTTTAAAGAGGGGACATCTCAGCCTCAGTGAGAGTGTTACTTATACAGCCAGACTACGGCAAAGTTTCTCAGCGCCTGATCCTCTGTTGGTTCTGTTTCTCTGGAGAACCCTAGTTAAACATTTATAAAAGGTGATATGTGATAATTAAGGAAACACTACAGCTAGTTATAGTTATTTTCAAGCCTCGGAAAGATAACTTTCAGGATGGGCATTTTCTGTATTGCTGGGATGGGAGAGGAAGTCTCTCATGTGGCCAGGGGGAATTAAGATCTAGGTCAGCAATGAGTCTTCCACAGTCAAGCTTATTGCCTTTGAGAAGGTGGCCACTGTCAGAGGCCAGCTGTAAGAACCAAGGAGAACAAAACATAGATGAGATCACCTCTGGCAGCCCTCTGGCTGTTCCCGGTATCAATAAGGCAATTTCCAGATTCTCTCAGAAATGGAGGGCACCTCTGTGATAACAAATTCATCCTATGGCTTGTTAAATCTTTCAAGTCCATCTACCTGAAAAACCCCTCTCTTCCCCCTCCCCCCTCCCCGACCCTAGCCAATATCTGAAATTCTGTATTTTGGCAAGTTACAAATTCCCCTCATTATGGGCTCTATGTATACCAAGCATGTCAAACTCGTGCCCCGCAGGCCATATGCGGCCCAGCCAATACAATGGTGTGAGCAGTTATTTACAATTATGAAAGGAAATAAGTCTCCTGCCAGATCCAGAATCATCGACATTCACCATGGGTCAGTTTGGAAAGTAATCACTGCGAACAAGATTTCCCCTGAAGTAGGAAAGATAGGAGCAGTCGAAGAGAAGCCAAGTGTCAGGAAGAAAACATTAATGCTATCATTATTCTTATTCTTTTTGTTTTTTATATACTATACTTTTTGAAATACACCCATGTTTCTATGAATATTGAAGCTTTTTTTTTTTTTTTTTGCAGCCCACATAAACTTAAACCTTGTTTATTTGACCCATGTTAGCCTTTGAGTTTGACATGCTTGATGTACACATATTACAGGAGGGCTTTGGGAGACATATGGGGCCCTATACAAATACATATGGACTTCCAAAAAGTCAGATTACTAGCAGTGTTTCCCAAAGTGTGGTACGTGTACCCCAGGGATGCGGGAAGAGTTTGGTGGGGGTACACGTTGCACTGGAGTTTGGTGGGAATATGCACTGCACCGTGCTTAGCTGCACCTAATTCTACGATCTCATGAGTACGAGGGGTACTCAGTGTTACAAAAATTATAGAAGGGGTACACATATGTCAAAAGTTTGGGAAACACTGGATAGAGGAAGGGCATTAAGACTTACATACCAGTTAGTGAAAGAGGCTAAGCAGGACCTACTCACTCAGGCTGGAAGCCCAGGTATTTCCATTCTTAACTAGCCAGAGTAGTTTTTGCATTGAATTTCAATAGGACTCCAAAAGAGAGGGCACAATTGCTTGCAGCCTGTATCAGAGCTGTATGGGGAGTCTTTTCAATGAAGACGGGGGCTCCAAAAAGAAATCATTTTCTAATTGGAGGAAGGAAAAGAAAATGAGGTGTTTATAAAAGAGGTCCACAATGCCCAGAATCTTAGAATGTTAGAATCCAATCCCTTGTCTTTTTTTTTTTTTAACTGAAGATGAAAGGCATCTAGAGGAAGCTGTGAATTGTCCCAAATCACAAGGTTTTGAAATTAGTTTCCACCACATCACAATGCTTTCTCTTTCCAGAATTCCTTGGAGGAAAAAAAATGTAAGAAAACCTCTCGGTTTCCTGCTTCATTATGCTGATGGCTGCTCAGGACTGAACATACGGTTACTATGGTTTTGTACTGACGCCAGCTGAAGCGGGGAGCAAACAGTCGCTTGCCAGCAAGGGAAAGAATCTGCAAAAAGTAATTGACTGTCATCTGAAATATTTTCAGATGTCGGCTTTTGAAAGAGAGAGCAAACGAAGAGAACTGGCTTTTACCTCAGGGTGTTTTTTGCTATTTTTTTTTCTTTCTTCAGGGTATCATTTACCTCAGATGCTTGTAAATCCCAAATTCTGTTTATTTGCTGGTCCCAGTGGTTTTTACTTCTTGACCCCTCCCCAACTATCCCCGAGGTTGTGGCTCCTGCTGTTCGTTTCTTTAACTCCCTGATGCATCTTACACACTTTAGCTTCTCGAATGTTCATCTTTTCACTGGGCAACAGATGAGATAAAGAGAAGCTGTTAGTCTGGCCAGATGCACATCTGGCGCCAAAGGGTGAGTCTGGGTTTTGATTCTTCTTGCCTGAAAGAGGTTTTTGAGCAGAGCGGCCATGCTGGGATTTCCCTCAGGTTTTAAAAGAACTAAAGGCCCCAACTCAATAGGCCTTACGTTTGCACTATGTAACTTGAGGGTTTTGCTTAAGAAAGATACAAAATCAGCCCACAGGTGAGGAGAATTGGGGTGAACTATAAGAAGACACTTGGCCAGGATGGGTTTTCTCCAATGTCTGCAAAATGGCAATCATGAGCACGGCCCACAGCACAGCTCTCAGGCTCTACAGAACAGTAACCCAGGGACATAAGGACCTGGCCCTGTGGTTGGATACTTGGTTCCCATGACCTACGGTTGCTCTGAAATAACTGGGAGTGATGGGGAGAACAGACATTGAAAAGTCATGCTAACTTGGGAGAGCCAGACCAAAGATGCCCCTAGTTCTCCTAAGAAGCGGACATTATTGATGGAAGAGATATCCCTGGCCTCCAGCATCATTGTTACACAGAGATAGCTTCTCTGGAAGTTAGCTCCTTCCCACCTACTCTCCATCTTTTTTAAAAAAAAAATAAAAAAAAATATATTTTATTGATTTTTTACAGAGAGGAAAAGAGAGGGAGAGTCAGAAACATCCATGAGAGAGAAACATCCATCAGCTGCCTCTTGCACACCCCCTACTGGGGATGTGCCTGCAACCAAGTTACATGCCCCTGACCGGACTGGACCCAGGACCTTTCAGTCCACAGGCCTATGCTCTATCCACTGAGCCAAACCGGTTTAGGCTACTCTCCATCTTTTTTTTTTTTTTTTTTTTTTTTTTTTTTTAAATATATATTTTATTGATTTTGTACAGAGAGGAAGGGAGAGAGATAGAGAGTTAGAAACATCGATGAGAGAGTCATCGATCAGCTGCCTCTTGCACACCCCCCACTGGAGATATGCCCGCAACCAAGGTCCATGCCCTTGACCGGAATCGAACCTGGGACCCTTCAGTCCGCAGACCGACGCTCTATCCACTGAGCCAAACCGGTTTAGGCTACTCTCCATCTTTAATGGTCATCAAGAAATGGCCCCTCCCAAGGTGGCAAACGTGGCACACTGCTTTTCGGATGGTGCCTTGGGAAGGCCTCTTTGGTGGGAGGTCGGCCGCCCTTTACCTGACACGTCCAGGTGCTCCAGGTTGGGGCAGAGGGACACCACGTCAAACACGGCCTCGTTGGAGATGTTGTAACAGCCTGAGACCTCCAGGCGCCGGAGCTCGGGGCAGCACTGGGCGATGGTGTAGAGGCCCCTGTCGGTGAGCCGCCGGCAGCCGCTGACCGTCACGGTCTCCAGCATGAGACACACGTTGGGCGTGTCCTGGCACAGCCTGCGGGTCAGCACCTTGAGGGCGCGGTCCACGTTGATGGTCTCGCCCGTCAGGCGGATAGTCCTCCAGAGCCGCGGGTCCCAGGCCAGGTTGTACCAGCGGCGGCACACGCGGGCGCAGCGGCACAGCTGGTTGGTGGGCAGGAAGGAGAAGACGTGCACCATGCAGTGGTCCGGGAGCCGCTCGATGCTGGCCTGCTCCTTCTGCGGCCTGGAGGCCAGCCGGATGAGCGGGTGGGTGAGGCGGGTCGGGGGCGGCGAGTGGACCATGGCCACCGTCTCCCCCGTGATGGAGGACGAGGAGGTGGAGGAGCCCCTTCCATTCTGGAATCCCGGCAGGTTCGGTGGACATATCAGGGCTGGGCTGGGCGTGCTCAGGGTGCGCATGCTCAGGTCGGAGTCTGGCAAAGGAGAGAGAGCAAAGGGTTAGTGATGGCCTGGCAGAAGGAGGCAAATGTGGGGTGACCCTCCATTCCATGGATACCCATCCAGAGGAGCTCATCTTCTGCACCAGGGATGGGCAAACGTTTCCCTAAGGGGCCAGATCTGAAATATTGGAGGCACTGCAGGCCATATGGGCCCAGTCTTGGTGACAATTACTCAACCTCAGTGTTGTGCAAAAAGCTGCTATAAACAGTATGTAAAGGGATAGGCGTGGTAGCGGCAATAAACTTTGTTTTTTAAGAACAAACCAGCTGGGTTTGGCCTGAGGGCCATAGTTCGCTGACCTCTGATCTACAATTAATGGTGAGTATCTAAAGGGCACAACTTCAAAGTTTCATTATTTCTATGCTAGAGGGCCACTTCATATATCATGAACACAAACTGATTTAGTTTCCTAATTATATTTCGGTTTTGCAGAAAATATGCTTCATTTACAAACGAGGAGCATGAGTTTCAGAACGGAAGTTTCAGTGGGTGTAGAAAAAGTTTGCTATCTTTGCCCTCACCTGCCCCCTAGCCCCTGCCCCCTCCCCCCTCCATCTTTTGATAACTGAACCCCAAACGAGGGGACTCAGGTCTGAGGAGCACCCCTTTTCTATGTTAGATTTCAGGTTGGTACTTCTAAGCCTTGAGTACACATGGCCATATTAATAACCCCTTCCCTTTGCATTTAAATAATGTGAGTTAAATTTGGTCCTTGGAACCAAACCGATCACATGATGAGGAGGACACAGTGGTGTTAAGTTTATGAGGAGTTATGTTCTTCAGAATACTACTATAAGGAGTCTGCTCACTTCATATCCCTAGCACAGTATATATGCATGAGAAAGAATTTATTCTCTACAAATGTATCTATATTATACGTTTTGCAATATAATGGATATATTCATCTAGGAAGACATTTATTTTCTCTAATTAGTATGTTTATATATTTTACATGTTTTTTTTGCACGCACGCGCGCGCGCACACACACACACACACACATACATAGAGCCTACCTTTAAAAGACTGAAAGATAGAGCGAGAGAAAGAGAGTAGTTTTTTTTTTCTCCAAAATAGAAATTTCTTCATCTGAAATAGTGAGTTGGGCTAGATGAATTCAAAGTCATTTCCAGCTCCAATTATAGCTCTAAAGACTTAAAAACTCTATCATTGTGTACCTTTCCACATATCATATCTTGGGACTTTTCAAACACTCATTTTTTTTTTTCCAAATAACTCCCAGTAATAACATACAACACATAGAATTCTGACACCCACATCTCCACTGAGTATCTATTTGTAGTTTTCATATGCTTATATTTTTTGTACTGTAATAAATTTCTTCTTTTAGATTACTGCTTTATAACCTTAACATTGAAAATGCCCTTCACATATCCACAACTTTGCTCAAAGAGCATCTTTGAATTATTGTCTTCTCTACCTCGCTGCCTACCCCTTGAAATACAAACACCCTTTGAGACTGAACACAAATGCCTTCCCCTTTAAGAACACTTTCTTGGTGTCTTTGGGACATAATCAATTCCTTTCCCTTTGAGTCCTCATTATTTAGGTATATGTGAATGTATCTTTCCCTAGTATGCTTGGATTGTATTATTTTTCTCAATTTTGCATCCCTCATATATCCCACATCCCTTGTCATGAGATTTTATACTCTCGCTAGTTTAGTGATGCTGGGCTTGGCTACATGACTTGCTTTGGCCAGTGAATTGCAGGGAAAGTGATGTGCCCAAAGCCATTGGTGTGGTTGGGCATGTCTGGCTAGTCCACTGATCTTAGGATGAGGAGAAGCCAATGGAGCAGACAGAACTGGCTCCAACCTGCTGCTGAGAGTCAAGCTCAACCAAGCCCTGCTGGGAGCAACCAATGCCCAGATGAAGTCACAGATGTGTGAGCTAACATTTTGAGTTGTTGCACAGCATTACTGCCTTCTATTCCATTAAAAACTCCTTTAAAACCATAATTAAATCATTTTATTATGTGTGCCTGGTGGTATCTGATATGGTTTATGGTGCATAGTAGGTGCACATAAATGTCTTGATTTAAATGAAAATACTTATATGTTTAAAAATATTACAATTTCTAGCTTGGCAATGTACTTTTATATCCCAGGTGTATTTTAAACCATTCACAAGAAAAGAAATAAGAATTTTTTTCCTCAAGCTATTGTTAGGACATCAACCCCAGCACTCAGTGGGGAAAGGGATACCTCAACTTCCCGAAAATATTATGACATTGTAATATAAATGAAGCAGAGAGAAAGAATAAGGATTCAGAATATGAATTTGGAACATTTTGTAGGTACGAACTTATTTTCATATCTGAATACCCATTCCTACCTATCTGATGTCTTCAGGGCAAAATCTGCCTGTATCACTAAGGTGTTATGTTTTGGGTTAAAACACAATTTGGCAATAACTCTGAGAGGATGTTATTGCTAATTTTAACACATTGTATACATTTATATAAAACTTAGCCATTATATTATATCTTTCTATACCTTCTCCCCTAGGCAAATGGTGAATGAAGGATAGTATTTGGAAGGTCTCCATACTGCCAGACATTATTTTGAGCAGGAAAAATAACAGAACTTGCAATATGTGCTAAGTGAAATATATATTTCCAAAAGTTTCTATCAAGCATTAAATTCATTGATGGCTGCATCAAGTATCCTAAAAATCTCAGAAGTCCTCTTGGTAACTGGACTTGATGCTCATAATGAAATGGCACATGGTGGTCTGTTGAACAGCCTTCCTTGCCTGTGCTTCAGTGGCATCCACATCATCACAGGAGCAGATATCACCCACAAAGCATCCTTGGCAGGAAACACTGCAAGGAGGTATACACAAAAGGCTCTCAATCATATATGTGAAGGTAAGATGCCCCTTGGAATGTCAGCAAAAGGAATACCCAAACTCTCAGGAGAGGAATAGATCTTCATAACTTATAAAATATTTCCAAAAGGCAATTTTTTTATCTACCAAGACCACTGTTTTCCCTGTAGACATTCTCTGAGCAAACATTTTTTTTTTAAAGAATAAGTACATGAATTGATAATGTAATATTTTTAAAAATATATATTTTATTGATTATTTTTTTTACAGAGATGAAGGGAGCAGGATAGAGAGTTAGAAACATCAATGAGAGAGAAATATCAATCAGTTGCCTCTTGCACACCTCCTACTGGAGATGAGCCCGCAACCAAGGTACATGCCCCTGACTGGAATTGAACCTGGGACCTTTCAGTCCACAGGCTGATGCTCTATCCATTGAGCAAGACCAGTTAGGGCAATAATGTAATCTTTTAAAGGTAGGCTCTACAGATTATTTTGTGATAGGATGGATGAGCACATGGAAGAATGGACAGAAAGATAGACAAAGCTATTAGAGGAAAATTTTGCAAAAAAAAATACCCAGGTCTGATTAATTACAAATATAAGGATTAGAAAAGTAGTTGCCAGTTATGAATGTGTAAGACTTAAAGAAAGATAGAGATAAACAAGCAAGTATCATGAAAACAGAATGGAAAAATTTAAAGACGAAACGATCATGCACTTTTTCAATAGGACATGAATTTTGTGTCTAACTGTGTCTCTTAATTGAGAAGGTGGACATATTCAAAAGATTGAAATAGAACTACAATGAAAAAACACCCAACCAAATAGCTCTGATATTTGTAGAAAAATATACAGATGGACTGCAAGGAATACACAGGGATAGAGACTGTGTTAAAAATCCCTGAGCTGTTGCAGATTCTGAGAATACAGATTAATAGGCAGAAAAGAAAGTAATGATTCCTTCCTTCACTGGACCATTTAACACACATTGTTACCGCAGCCTGAGTGCCCAGTAGGGGTCTAGGAAGGGAGGAGTTTTTGCACTTGACTGGATTATAAAGCATGTTTCAAGCCCACCTCCTTTCTGCACCCATCACAGTCCCCTTAAAAGACATCCTCAACCTAGACTTTGACCTCTCCAATCCTTTAGGGAGAGAGAAAAATGACTCCATATTGTGAATGCACCCAACTCACACAAAATCCAGGATGGTAAAAGATAGAAAAGTTTGTACATGTCTGGAAAACAAGTCAGTTTTCGTAAGTGTCAGCTGAAGACAATGGATACAGAAGCTCCCGGTAGTGAGTGACAAGCTTTGTAATTAAATAATATTTTTGTTGAGATTTTGGATTTTCTCAAAAAGAATATAATCTATAACACAACAGAGATCCTAAATCAAATAAATATAATTATACTTTTTATATTGATATTTTTAACCCTTGTCTAAGACAGTGGTCGGCAAACTCTTTAGTCATCAGAGCCAAATTTTTTGAACTTAACTTCTCCTAATGCCACTTCTTCAAAATAGACTCACCCAGGCTATGGTATTTTGTGGAAGAGGCACACTTAAGGGGCCAAAGAGCCGCATGTGGCTCACGAGCCACAGTTTGCTGACCATAGGTCTAAGAGATTGTTGACTCTTTAAATTTTAAGAGCTTGTGGATCCATTAATAATTGAAAACATTTTCAAGTATGTAATTTACATGAGAGCACTATGGTTTGTGTCCTTAAGTTACTTTAAATATGTAAAGAATACCAAAAAGCATAGCCGTCTTTTTCTGGGAGGAAAAAAATCCTATAAACTCTTTTTCTCATGGGTTCAGAGTCCTGGAAATTTTACATCTTTAGTAATTACAGTATAGTAAAAAATATTCAAGGCATCTCATACACACATGCTTATTAGACACATTTTCTTCTAACTAGATAGCTGCCTGTTTTGTACAAGTTTTTATTTTCAAACCGCTGCTGTTTACACTCTAGGAAGTCATATTTACATTACACTGGCCTTTCAAAGTCAAAATTTACAAAGCTACTCTGCCTGTTCCCCCTCTGATTACCAAAACTTTGGTGCAAGATGCTTTCCATTATAAGTGGTCTTTCTATTCAAGAGCTCTTGCCATA